TATTGTTATTTTGTGTTAGTGTAGGCTACATCTTCGACAACCTATCAAAAAGAAAAACCTTTGTACGTTAGTAAAACCAAATTTCCTGTCCGATCAAACACAGTGCTGAGCTGAGCTGCTGAGGTACAATATTAGCTTACTCGTCAGCAAATCGGAGACATGGAGGCGGCATAGGTTCGATCCCTAAATTGGGTGGAGGCCCTAAGGGTAAAAACGCCACCAGTTGCACATATCTGCCGCCAATAGTGGATGAATGCACATTTGTGGCATCTCCCCCACCCTCCCGGCGACAAAAAAAACAAAATGCTCGATCGTGGGTTGAAAAGTAGATCTTGGGTCAGAAAAGGTTGGACGCCACTGACTTTAATGAATGCCAATGAAGCCACAAGAGATGTCCTTAACTTCTCTTTCTTTGTTGACACTCGTGAAACTGCACAATAGGCCCACCAGGCAACACTCCTATACAAAACTGCAAACTGTTTTCTCAAGTTTAAAGTGGAGTTCTTGTAGGCTGAAATGTTTTGAGCCTCTTTTAACTGCACATGCATTTGTTTCATATCATGGAAATGAAGTCACATCATGATTGCGTCACTCCACATTATTCAATAAGTTACCTCTGAATTTATCATAAGTTGTCTACATTGTTTAGAATGGAATCAAGGGCAGCATGGAAACAAATGTAAGAAAAGTCTGTTCCACATGTTAGACTGAAGACTTACTGACTTCCTCTAAACTTGATCAATCAATAAGTTGCCGACTACCGTTTACCGTTGTTTTCTCTCAACACCTTTTTCTTTTTTTCCACAGTACGTCTACTTCCGAATGGGCATCAAACAAGCAGAGATGGTGAAGCACAGGTTGTTTCGTTCCACGCTGGAGGAGCTGCGCACGCGGCACACTTTCCTGGAGCGCCGAGGCTTGTACCAAACCCCCGACAAGAAAGGGCAGACCGTCATCGCTAACCCGAAACTGGACAGCGTCCTCAACGTGGACCTGGATACCTTCCTGCTGGCGCACGCCGCCAACGCGTCAGCCGAGGAGTATGACGTCTTTCGGAGACTGGTGGCCAGAGAGTGGAAGCAAGAGGAGCGTCACCACGGCGACTGCCAAGCGGAGATGGAGGACAGTGATGATGATGATGATGATGAGGAGGAGGAAGAGGAGGACGAGATGGAAGGCAAGGAAAGCTACAGGAAGAGGAAAAAAAAATAAAGTAGTGACACATGAATGAGAGAACTACAAAGAAGACTCCATTGTACAGTCCGTACAATCACATCAAAATATTCACACTGACGATGTAATTAAACATGACGAGGAGCTGGATTTTTTTTTTTTTTTTTTGGTGGTAATATTACAACAGAGTGAATTTACAAGAATAAAATTCTATAATATTCTTATGACTATTCAGTTAACTTGAGGAGGAATTTCTACAAGAATAAATTTATAGAAATATGAGCTTTATTCCAACTTGTAACCAGCGAAATGAAAAAAATCTGGTTGTAATTTTGCAAGAAAACATTTGTAACTTCCTGGGGTTGGAAAAATGATGGAATTATGAGCATGAAGTTGCAATTTTTCTCCCCAAAATGTTTTACACCCTTTCTAAAAGATTAGTTTTCTTGTCATACAATTTATAAAGTGAATTTATAACAGTATAGTTGTAAGCGTGGCTCAAATTACCTCCGCCAAGGCCGAGCGATCCTAATTTGGGTCATTTCTGTGAAATCAGAAAAATATTTATGTACTTTATATGACTTCTGTCATCCTCACCCTTTGTTTTCCGATGATCGGGAGATCTCGGCATTTATGCGACCTTGTAAAAATGTAAGTCGGCCTTTAATTGATTACATATGTTTTAAAGTATCAAGCTGGTGCCTGCGGTTTTGAACTCAAATGCATACGTCGAGTTCAGTTTCCAGCAAATTCCCTGAAACAAATCCGCTATTAAAAAAATCCAAAGCGTCTTGTCACAAATGTTGGAAAAAGCTCCACCCTGTTACTATGTGACGGCTAAGTGGCCGGAGCTTTGCTGCATCTCTGCAATCATCTGTGCGAGTCAACACGGAACCCATCAGATAAGCGCAGGCGGCAGAAAAACACCCTGTGATTTACACAAGATTTCAGCCCTAATGGACGTGCGTCGCACACCGCGTTCAAATGGACGTGAGGTAAGAAAACGGAACTTTGCCCGCTCAATTATTTGTAGATAAGGACGTTTAAGTCTAAATCGAAACATTTGATTTTTTTTTCTTTGCCATAAGTGTTTTATAGTGTAGTTTAGATAAACACAGTTATTTATCCTGAAAGTATTTTAAAGTCAAAATATGGGTGTGTTGATATTTTTAAATCAGTTGTGCTATTTTTTTTTTCCCCCTCAGCCTCATAATGTATTAGACATTGCATATGATTCGATCCTAAATATTTTGCAATTATGTCATAGCAACCATACAATTGTGCCACGTACTCTGTTTGGAACGTACTCTGTGCGCAACCACATTATTTTAATTTTACCTGCTCACTCACAAAGATTCACTTTTTATTCATCAGGGAGTTTTGATCGGTCACAATGCTGAATCAGGATTATTTTTTTCGAACGGGTGTGTAGACTTTTTATGCTCCCTGCATCTGATGCAGTTTTTTTTTTTTTTTTACATTTGTCACCATGTGCAGATCATCAATTTCAATAAAACCAATGTTAAGTTCCATACATTTTTGTAGATATTCAGAGACGATCCCCTTCATGAAAAATGTTGCTGACAACGCCCAACAGGAAGCTGCTGGAAGAAAAACTTGAGCAAGACAAAATGGCCGCCGAACCCATCCTGATTACCAACCTGACGCAGGAATGGCTGGCGAGCCTTCGACGCTGGCACCTTTTTATAGTGTAGTTTAGATAAACACAGTTATTTATCCTGAAAGTATTTTAAAGTCAAAATATGGGTGTGTTGATATTTTTAAATCAGTTGTGCTATTTTTTTTTTCCCCCTCAGCCTCATAATGTATTAGACATTGCATATGATTCGATCCTAAATATTTTGCAATTATGTCATAGCAACCATACAATTGTGCCACGTACTCTGTTTGGAACGTACTCTGTGCGCAACCACATTATTTTAATTTTACCTGCTCACTCACAAAGATTCACTTTTTATTCATCAGGGAGTTTTGATCGGTCACAATGCTGAATCAGGATTATTTTTTTCGAACGGGTGTGTAGACTTTTTATGCTCCCTGCATCTGATGCAGTTTTTTTTTTTTTTTTTACATTTGTCACCATGTGCAGATCATCAATTTCAATAAAACCAATGTTAAGTTCCATACATTTTTGTAGATATTCAGAGACGATCCCCTTCATGAAAAATGTTGCTGACAACGCCCAACAGGAAGCTGCTGGAAGAAAAACTTGAGCAAGACAAAATGGCCGCCGAACCCATCCTGATTACCAACCTGACGCAGGAATGGCTGGCGAGCCTTCGACGCTGGCACCTGGAGCTCTTCTTCATCCCCACCACCGTGGTCACCCTGGCCACCATGCTGGTGAACCCCATCCTGTTGGCGTGCATCTTCGCATCACGCGCCTTACGCCGGGAGACGCGCTACCTCCTGGTGGCCAACACCTTGGCGGCGGACATGTTGTTCCTCACCCTCAACCTGACCACCGCCGTCCTCAACGAGGCCCGGGCCGAAGTCCCGTGGCTGGTGTGCGAGCTGCTCACGGCCGTCACCGTCACGGCCTACTGCTGCGCCATCCTCACCGTCACCCTCATGGTGGTGGACACCTACGCGGCCGTGCGCTGGCCGCTGCACTACCACGACCTTCTCCCGCCCGCTCGAACCCACAGAATCCTGCTGGGGGCGTGGGTACTGGCAGCAAGCTACCCGTTCACGCTGGTCATCCTGATGGAGATGGAGAGGGAGCACCTACGCGGGAACGCGCCCGTGTGCCTCGTCCTCATCTCCCTGGGTTTCATTCAGGCCAAAAACACGGCGGGGATTAACGTCTATTTCTTCGTGGCCGCTCTCATCTGCGCCGTGCTCATCTTCTACTGCTACATTCGCCTCTACATGGAAACCAGAACCCAAGGCATCTGGCAGAGTCGCTTCTCCAGAGCGCGGGTCACCGTGTTGGCCCACGGGGTCCTGCTCCTTCTTTACTTTGCCCCCGGCTTCGTCTTCACCCTGGAGCTGCTCCTGTTTCAGAGTAAAAACGTCAGCCAGGATGTCCGAGTGTGGGTGAGCACGGTTAACATGTGCGTGTTCATGCTCCTTCCCAGGGCTTTTGCTCCTTATCTGTACGGGCTACGCTACCGCGAGATCTCCGACACGCTGCTGCAGATGCTGCATCGGCACCGAAGACTCAGCCAGATCACTGTAGCGTAATCACGTTCAGTGACGTCGTCCAAAAACCAACATTGACGATCAATTCAATGCCCTGAAAATGAAATGACCCGGATAAATGAGAATATCAGCAAACACGTCCGTGAACGTCTCCAGCATCCAAGATTTGGAAAACACCCTTGGAAAACCAGCATCTCGAACTTGCTCACATTTACAGACCGGGTAGAGAGTTTTTAGTCACAGACTCGTCTCTGACTGAGATTTGATTTACGGTGAATTTTGCAGGGTCACCATTGCAAAGACTACAACTATACATGATTGTTTTTTTCGGGCTAAAAACGCCTTACTATACATGGTCGTTATTTTCGGCGAAAAACGCCTTACGATACATGGTTGTTTTTTTTCGGATAAAAACGCCTTACTATACATGGTCGTTATTTTCGGCCAAAAACGCCTTACTATACATGGTCGTTTTTTTCGGCTAAAATCGCCTTACTATACATGGTTGTTTTTTTCGGGCTAAAAACGCCTTACTATACATGGTCGTTTTCTTTTTTGGATAAAAACGCCTTACTATACATTGTTTTTTTTCGGATAAAAACGCCTTACTATACAGGGTCGTTTTTTCGGGCTAAAAACGCCTTACTATACATGGTCGTTTT